ATTAATTGACTGGATTCTGCTCATTCACATCCAGGTAGTCTTTCGAGGGAGGATTTAAGGTCACAGACCTTATCTGGCTTTGAGAGCTGCCAGGCTGATCTCTGCAGAACTCAGCAAGAAGTCTCGGAGAGTCACGAACCAATTAGCGAACTAACTGTCTCCTGCAAACTCCACTCCCCTTTCGCTCCTCTTTTATTCCCTCTGGGAGGGGCCATTCACCATCCACCTGTGGCCTTCCTCCCAAGTCGACCCTTGTTCTTTAACTGTTCCCTTCATCTGGCAACTCTGTGCATGCGCACACTGGGAACAGGTGATGGAGATGAACTTAAGGCCTTCTCTATCTCAAATCTTCACAAAGCAAAGAAAATACACAGTTGCATTTCCAAAAAAGATGAATATCCCTATCCAGACTCGCCGTCCAGCAACAGAAGGCACAACAGACTCACCTGACGATAACGGTTCCAAAAATGGCATCGATCATAGCTCTTTCGCACTTTACTCGCTTGTCGGCTATCCACACCGTTCCAACCACAGCCCAGATCAGCTCCGGGATGTAGAGAGCTAGACGGATGTATAGAAGTTTCGGGAGGGATTTTCGTGGTCCGGGGTTGGAAATGGTTCCTGGAAAACAAGAGTCATTCGATTAAGGGACTAGAAATACGACAGCTGTGTCTGGTTTTATTTTAGACTGAAAACATCTGGGGACCCAAACAGGTGCCCTTCCTATAGATTGATGGATGATGGGCCATCTACAAGTCGTCCTTGATGTCAACTCCTAATGTTGCCATAATAAGAGAACGGGGGGGGGGACACATTCCACGCGTACTGTCAGATGAAGCCGGATCTCTGATTACTGCAGCAGGCTTGGGAGGGGTGCACCTCATTGGGAAATGTGATTTATGACACAGACTGAGAGGAGGGAAGGAACAGGGGTAAGGTTCAGCTGTAACTCAAACAAAGCTTAGATCTGACTGTGAAAAGATATTGCCAAAAATAAATGTTCCTAATAAATGACTAATTTTCCTTTGAAGTTTGGCCCGAGGCTCATTAATCAATTAGGGCATTTTTTGGAAACCTGACATTTGACTTACAACAGTTTCTTTAGAGACTGTTCACAGTCACCACGGCACTGGAAAAAAGTGATTTACGACCACTGCGGCATACCCATGGCCTTACATGATCAAAATTTGGACCCTTGGCAACTGATTCCTATTTATGACGGTTGCGCTATTCTGGGGGTCACGTGTTCTCCTTTTGCGACCTTCTGACCAGCAAAGGGGGAAGCTAGTTCACTTAACCACCATGTTAGCGACTTAACAATAGCAGCAATTCACTTAACAACCGTGGCAAGAAAGTTCATAAAAATGGGGCAAAACTCACTTAGCAATAAAAATCTGGGGCTCAATCGTAAGTCGAGGAGTCCCTGTAGTGGGTGTCATATCTTAACTACCATGTTAAAAAAAAAAACCTTTTCCTAGAAGGAAAACTGTTGTGACTCAGCAGATGTCTGCTGTGAGTCTTTTCGGGATACAAGATTCATTATGCAG